GTACATTTGTTGGGATGCCTCCTGTAAGTTTATTAGAGCTGCCAGAGCTGCTTGAAGGTCCAACGCATCGAAATGATCCGACATGTTTGTTTGTACTGTATGTATGTGAAGTAAACGTGCACGGCGTGAGCAGATCTGACCAGAGTTTTGCGTCTTGGGCACTGTAGGGCTAACCTGATTCATCAGCCGGTTTCACTTCGAAGAAACTGTCTGACCTCACAGCATTAGAATTTGTTTGCTTGATGGGTACTTTTTGTCATTTAACCAATCGTTGCTATTTGGTCATGACGTATGTAATGCGCCTCTAACGAGAACCAACTGGTATATTAAGCTTTTCCCAAATCCTGTAGGAAGAAGGACAATAACATATTTCCCCTTGATAAAATTCACCAAACATTCTCCTTGTTCTGGCTTTAAATCCTCGATCTTGGGAATCGTTGCCAACACAAAATGTATGGTTCTTCGCTGATTGGCTGGTGCCCGGACTCGCACTTCCAGGGTTCTTGCAAACCATCGAGTCTAGTGCATTCTGATTCCTGATGTAGTCGCTGGATAGAAATGAAATTGAGCGGAGGCACTAGGTGGTACCAGGTTCAGATTTTTCCATTTTTTAGCCCCAAAAACTGCATCACCATCTAAACAACAGGCACTTCCGATAAAATATTTTGTCATTTTTCAAGGGTTCTTGTGTAAGCAGGCCCTAAGTCTAAGTCTAGTCCTTCTTTTGCAACAGGCTTTACTCACTCTTACGTCACAAACCAGTAAGACATTTGGAAACATGCAACGACAACTTCCGGCGTAGTTCCCCACACTGAGCTCGCCGACCGACTGTGATAAAACCCATTGAAGACTGCATACATATGTGCCGTTTCGAATAATCTTGAATTTGGCGCCCTCTTTTCTTCTAATCGCATGTACCCAGTGCGCACGGAGTTGTGTGTCAGTGGGGAAATTATGAAAACTGAGGTATGATTGTAATTGCTGATCAGTCAAACATAACGGAACGCTACAGTGACATGAAGCTGAAGAAAACTGGGCCATTTTCAAATTTTTACTAGATTTTGTCAGACTTACTACCACGAACAGAGCCCGCCGGAAGTTGTCATCTCATGTTTCCAAATGTCTTCCGGTTTTGTGACGTAAGCCTGAATAGAGCCGGTTTTAGGGCAAACTAGATCAATTTGCAGCTTTGTGTTCAAAACTGTGAAAGTGCGTGCTGCCTCCAGTGGCCAGTGTAATTTCAAGTACTACGTGACATCACTCAGGACTGCAGCCAGGCATCTCAGAGTACAAATAGCTGGCTGCAGGGGCAGAGTTAAAAGTGTGGATATCTGTTAGACGAATCACACTATTCTTCATATGTCCAGACCAACTACTCCTCCATCCTCATTGTTTTCTTTAGTCCTCCAGGTATTGCCCAGTTCAAATTAACAGCTCCTTTTACCCTTTGTTCAGTAGGGCCTGGGAATTCCAGGGCCGAAATGATCCAAATGAGTCTAGTGAAGATGTATCGAGTTTAAAAATACAATGGAGCACGTCCTGTACTACCATATGACATCACAAGGTGGAGCAGAGTGTTTTCTTTGAGAGAAGAACTCAGCCTAAATATGCAGGATTTATGTGTTAAACGTGTGAATGAAACAAAACACAACTCCAGGTCTGTTTGTGATGAGGAAAAAATAGAGCATAGATCAGAAAATAGCGTAATAGTGTAAAATAATTGAGTATAATACACCAAAAAAAAAATATTCTTGGCGATATATCGATACAGCAGCCCATGATATTGATACTGTATCATCATAGGGGTATTCAAAAAATCTAAATATCAATATATCGTATCGTTTAATGTGATGATACAGTATAGATATCGTGGGCTGCTGTATCGATATATCACCAAAAGTATTTTTTGGTGTATTTTACTAAATTATTTTGTTACAGTGCTACAGTTTTGTTGCTTGTTTAGAGGAAGGGAATGTTTATGTGACACATTTGACATTTTCACTGTTTTGATGATTAAAATGTTTGTTTCATATTAACTGTTAGTATCACAGTCATGATTCAGCTTTTTTATTTTTTATTGAACTGTATCGAAATATATTGTATTGAGTCGAAAGCACACTGTATCGACATATGTATCAAATTGTGGCCTATGTATCGAGATATGTATCGAATCATGGCCTATGTATTGCGATATGTATCGAATCGTGGCCTATGTATCGAGATATGTATCGAATCGTGGCCTATGTATCGAGATATGTATCGAATCGTGGCCTATGTATCGAGATATGTATCGGATCGTGGCAAATGTATCGAATCGTGGCCTATGAATCGAGATATGTATCGTATCAGCAATTTCTTAATGATACCCGGCCCTAATCATCGCATTAAACGTTTTAATATATCGATATTTTGATATTTTTGCACACCCCTTATCCTAATATCATTGATACTTTGACATATTGATCATCTCTAGTCAGGTTCTCCCCAGAATTGGTGTTTTTGTTGGTTACAGCTACAATATTTCCACAAGTGTTGTAATGTTCTGGCTGCTCTGTCCACAGTGTAAAACACATTAGACATTTACATCTGGATTGTGCATCTTAACTTAGCACAGACTGAAAATCCCACAACCCGTAGCCTGAGAAACAGCTCTGCAGAGACGCGTTTTATCAGTTTTAGCGTAGCACCGTGACCTTTGCGGCTAAGAGCTGTTGCATGTCGTGCGCTACATCTGGGCTTTGAGGCTGCCACTCGTCTGGTTGCCGCGGTGATTATGGAAATATTTGTCTTGGTCTCAGCTGGGATAAAGACCCAGAGGAGAACGTTTACCGGGACTACAGCTCCATCCTCTGCAATCTCCGTGATGATGCTGGTTTCACAGTCTGTAATCTCCTCCCCGTATAAGACCGTTTAAGGGAATAGCCAATGGGATCAGGCCTTGTTTGGATGTTCGGACCAGTGGGGGGTCAGTTTAACCCCGCATGACAATTTTGAACTCATATTTATTTACAGTACCTTGTTTCAAATGGTTTTATTGCTTCAAAGAGAATTTTTATAGAAAAATTATACAGGATGCACATTTTCTTGAAGGTGCACTACGTAACACCTGCTTGTTTCTGTGGATATGCCGTTGCTCTGCCTGGAATGTTCCACAGTATGGCATTAAACAGCGCTACCTTACCTTTATTAAAATGCAGGTGTTTTTTACAGCGCAAAAATACCTATAAAAACAGATATTCTGATTGTGAGTAGGGTTGCCTCTCCCAAGATCTGACCTGTAACTCGGTCTGGTGTGGTCTCCATGAAGATGCCGTTTAATGCCATACTGTGAAACATTCTAACGCAATAATATCTTCATGGAGAAAAGCATCTGACGGACCCTCCACCAGAAAAGTTACAAAGTGCAACTTTGAATTCTTACATTTAAGAATCTTTACATTATCTGTTGACTTCAACCATTGTTTCCCAAAGACTGGGTCATGACCCTCAGGTGCAGCAGAAGAGATTTCTTTGGGGTCGCCTTGTCACGATCTGCCTGTAGGTTGAAATGTTAAGACATGTTTTGCATAATTTCTAATCTTCTTGTAATTATTTTATTGACTACTTTGTTCCAGTGTTGCTTGTTCAAGTGAATGTTGAAAAGAAAAAGAAATGGACTACATTTAAAGTCCAAATAGGTGACTTATGGATCCTTTTATTGCTGGTTCAATTATTGTTTTTCATTGTTTAAAACTTGAGAGCCACAATCACTCAGTCAACAATAAAATATCTTCATTAAAGTTCAATAATGGTCAAATCCACCTCTATTTTGTGATTTTACGAATAATGTTTATTGACTTGTGTTGCGAAGGTTTGTGACTTTTAAAATACGGATTCCCAGAAAAAAAAGTTTGGGAAACACTGTTCTATAGTTCTGCATTAAAGAGACCATGTTACGCTATTTTCTGATCTGTGTTATAATCTTGTTTCTTCATCAAAAACATGCCTGGAGATTTGTGCTCCACTTTTATTAGACGCATTTTGATAATTTCATCCCTGGAATTGCCAGTCTCTGCTGAACAAAATAGGCTGTTAACTTAAAAACTACCACTACATGACATCACAATGTGGAACAGAGCATTTTGAGCTTTGACGATGTAAACAGACTAATATGTAAAGTATACTCAAACATGTGAATGAAACAAAACACAATATTCCATCATGGCTCAAATCTCACAGGAATCAGTTTTGTGTAATATAGAACCTTTAAACTTGTCCATGACCATGAAAACAGAATAAAAATGTCTTTTAGATATAATTAATGCCATGCTGTGGAAGATTCAAATATAGAAACAAAAGCTACGCAGGTGGTCGATTAATAAGAAAATGTAGGAGTTACAGACAAACCATCAGGGATAAAAACTCAAAGGTATATTGTGTGACTTTCATGGTGAAGCGTTCGTCAAAAGTTTTTGAAGATGTTATTGCTTTGTCTGGAATGTTTTACAGTTTAAACCTTTCTATCTTCAAGGAGATCAAACCAGACCAAGTTACAGGTCAGATGTGTGGAGAGGCAACCCCGCTCACAGTCAGAATCCCTGTTTTTCTAGGTATTTTTGAGCTATAAACTCGCGTATAATTGAGTAAATGTAAGGTAGAGCTAATAGTCCAATGAGGTTCATGTGGTCTTCTGATAATTTATGTTATTAGGTTCTTTTTTCAGGCCATGGGTAAACACAACAAAATATTTTATCGGAAGTGCCTTTCGTTTAGACAGTGACGGCGTTTTTGGGGCTTAAAAATCTGAAACCACCCTCCAGAGTGGAAAAGTTGAATACGCTCGGCAGTAGCGTTTCCGTCTACACTGTCCAAAAAGCAAAAGTCTGTTCAGATCTGTTCACATCGTGTACGTGTTTATGTCACATGCATCACCACCTATCATCACAACCGAGCCTCTTACATGCAAACCTACGGTGGCCGACGGGGGCCAGAAGCACTGTAATAGCTCAATGCGTCTCATTTAGAGAAAACAATTTCAAGTACAGAAACGATGCAAATTCACAGGGTCAAACACAAGTTTAAACGAGGTACAAACAAAATACGTGGTGCAGATGAAAAAAACGCGCTGCAAGAAACAAAGACAAATGCATCATCATCAAATGCGCTGCAAATAGAGAAACGATGCAAAGCGCGAAACGATGAAAACCAAGAAAACACCTGCAAAAGAAAAACGCTGCATAAAGAGTCGCCACAACGGAAGTGCTCCAAACCTGCAGGGGGCGCTCAGTGTAACAGCTCAATGGAGAGACACACCGGCTGGACAGAGAGAAAGGATCTGCCTTTGAGAGACAGAAAACAGCTGACTGACGATAAACTACAGCGGGGACTTATGATTGTTACGGTAATGTGGCTTTTATTTGATTATATTCATCTACTGTGTTACGGTCATAACCCACAAAACTGTCAAATAAGTTTGTTTTAAACTGTGTTAACTGTGTGAACCTCGGAGCTTTTGAGCTAAAAGTTTAGCTACTGATTTGGAGCTAACGCGATGAAAAGTCCGCTCAAACTTTCATATTTGGACAGAAAGCGTCGTTGCCCTGCAAATAAGTGCCATTTCTGGGTCTTTGCCTGGAACGATGGACCAGGCTGAGAGAGACTTTAGTGCAGCGGTTTTCAATAGGTGAGGCTCGCCTCCCCTGGGAAGCGCCAAAGAGCCACTGGGAAGGCGTGACACACGCGGACTAAGGCTCGGACTAGACAAGGACTAAACCAGAACTGAATCAGGACTGAGTGTGGGTGACTGTGGGCAAAAGGACTGGCGCAGAAGCTCCACGCCCCACGGCGCTAAAGCAGCTGTCGTCTGATCGTGCTTTGCGGACACCTCCATGGGCTTGCGGTTTCTCTCTCTCTCTCTCAAGTCCAAGATTAGACCTGGTCTAGTCCGGGCCTTCACAGTCAATAATTAATGAAATATTTTTGGCAAATAAATATCAGAGGTAGTTGACGTATTCTGAAGGGATCCTTGATTGGTGACTGTAAGGATTTTTTTTCTTTTTTGACTATTACTTAAACACAATACATCCAAGCAAGTACAGTAGTAAACTACTACTAACAGAGAAAACGGTAAAGAGAAAACTATTTGAAATATTTTATATTCATTTTCTTTTCTCATCTGCAGACTCCTGTATGAAGACACAACTTACTGCTGGGGCCACAGAACTGTTGGCTGATGAGACACTCATGATTCATGAAATGGGTCAAATGCAGATGACAAAGTAAAGCCCACACTGCACTGGAGGTGCTGAACCAGACTCCTGCCACAGATTAGGTATGGTGCATGTTTGCATTGAAAACTCCAGTATTAATAAGGGCTGCAAATGAATCATGCTCATGTTGAAATCATGATTCAAAGAGTAAAAATACGCATTTCTCAAATGTGTGGGATTCTTCTATTAACTTAGCTGTTTCAATTTATATATTTTCTATTTTCCTGTAATCATTTTGTAGTTTTCCTAATGTGTGTGTCATTACTGGTTTTCACTCTGCAGGACCTGACTTTGAACCTATCAGACATAAGGCCCATTCTGCTCTTCCTCCTCCAGAAGACGAGAGATACATTAGACTGAGTGGCCCAAGTACATTGGTTCATGCCTTCACTGTCCATGTCCACACTCACTGAGGAGGAGGTCGTCCAGACTGCAGCAGATCTGTAGGGCCTCTGGTTGCATCAGGCCTTCCTCCTGCTGTCTCTAATGTGTGTTAATAATGATGTGTCCTTAAAGTTTAGGTTTAACTTCTAATTTCTTGCACAAGTAAAACAGTAAAATGGTGGTTCCTTTTCATCTTAGCTGAGGAGCACCTAAACAACTTCATCACTGAGGCAGTGTACCATGATAAATGTGGCCTTATATGATATTACCAAGTGTGTGAGACAAAACTGAAAACATATCATTTACTCATAAGTTTTTCTGGATGTTTTTCGTCTATACTGACATTTGTTTCATGGTGAAATGTGCCGTTTATTTAGTGTCTCTTTTGGTAGTAACTGATTACATGCACTATAAGAATTTACTATTGTACTGCAGTTATGCAGATAATTTGTCCATTTTGAATTATCACCTGGTTCAGTAAAAAGGTAACAATTTGAGAGTACACTGACATACAGTTGTTTGTACAAACCTATTAATGCAGTGTGTGCGTAATGGGTTTAATGTTCGACTATTCACATTATGACAAACTATTTCCAGAAGTTCCTATGATTGTTTAATAAATCATCTTTTCTCAAAGGAGAGATGTCTTTTTTAATAAACCGACGTAAATGCATGCCCGGTATAAATGTAATCCCTTATCAATAGAAACAGACTTCATAATGCATATCCCATCACAGTTTTTGAAACTTTAAGGTCATTTAGTCTATTTTAGATGTATTCCAGAAATAAAGCCATTTTGTTTATGCAAAAGTTAAACATAAGTTTTCGCTTTTAACCATAAGATTTGGATGAGAATTATTAGAATAACTTGATCTCCTACAGTTTGAGTACCCATGCGTAATGTTTTTACCGATTCGTGTACGTAATTTGCGTGGTGCCTGTTGTTAGCATTAGCGTTAGCATCTAATAAAATAACTACACCTGTCTCATTTCAGCACGGCCTTTGGGGTCCGCGGACACTGCTACTGAGCGCGCCCCCTGCAGGTTTGGAGCACTTCCGTTGTGGCGACTCTTTATGCAGCGTTTTTCTTTTGCAGGTGTTTTCTTGGTTTTCATCGTTTTGCATCGTTTCTCTATTTGCAGCGCATTTGATGACGATGCATTTGTCTTTGTTTCTTGCAGCGCGTTTTTTTCATCTGTACCACGTATTTTGTTTGTACCTCGTTTAAACTTGTGTTTGACCCTGTGAATTTGCATCGTTTCTGTACTTGAAATTGTTTTCTCTAAATGAGACGCATTGAGCTGTTGCAGTGCGTTTGGCCCCCGTCGGCCACCGTACAAACCCAATCGAATTCCACACACTTTTGCGTCACACAGAATTCCTCCCGAAAACACTCAACGCCACTTTTGCGTCTTCTGTTCAGACCATCATCATATAAACGTAGCCCAAGACTTTGTTTTCATACCTGTGAGTTTCGACTGCCCACTGGTGGTATTCCTCAGAGTGGTCACGTGATGATGCTGTGACGTGTCCGATCAGCTGATTTGTTTTTGGAGCCGTCTTCCTACCGGTTTAGGCAGGACGACAGCACTTCCTGAAGTCCGACTCCCTCAGGACAGTATCCCAGGTGTGTGCGAGTAAAAAAGCCCCCTTATCCTGGTTCATAGTCCCATGGGCACGTTTCTGTATTTTGATTGCCTCTTTAACTCTTTCCCCCATGAAGACGACATTTGACGACCCCCTGAACCCTTAATGACGACTTTTGACACCTCCGCAGTATCACTAAAGACGTGATTTGACGACCTTTAGATACGGCTCGGTTTTTCACATTTAAACAGAGACTGTGATAGGTGGGGGCCACTACAACCCACACTAGACTGACCAATAGGATTCAAGGATATGTTTTCGCAGATTTTTTCCGAAGTTAATCGAAGTAGTGACGATGGTAGCTTCCGGAAAAAACACAACACGAAACACGTGCAATGGAAAGATCACGGCGCTGCGGCGCACAGTTTTAGAAATAATGAGGAGCGGACGTATTTTATGGATAAGTTTAGAGAAAGTGACTTTTATAGATTTCAAAGTGATGATGAGGGTGATTATAAAGTGGACAGCGATAGCGACGGACTTACAGAGAGTGAATCTTACGAAGATGAGAATGCCGCTGATGCGTCTGTATGGAGTCCTGCGATATCCGAACAAACTATCCGGGCTTTATACTCGATTATGAACCAAAATTGCCCTGAAATCACTCGTGGAAGTCTGTTTTCTTTTATGCAATTATGCTCTATGGGTGTAGCCCTAGTAACATATGTATGGGTTGTTCCTAGTAGGCGTCCAGGGGGGAAAGAGTTGTTTGTTCTCGATGTTTGTTCTCCTCTGTCCCAGTGATGTTTGCTCCGTCCCAGTCCATGATGTGGTTCCGTCTTTAACAGTGGTCAAAAATAGCTGATTAGAGTTGTTTCTGTTCTGCTTTGTGGCATTGCCAAAACCTTCAATGTTAAAACTGTCAGGTATGAAAACAAACTCTTAGTCTGATAAAAACCTAATGACGTAAGGTAGAGCTGTTTAAAGCCATCCTGTGGAACATTCTGGGCTGAGCAATGACACACTCATAGAAACAAGCATCTCAGTTTTGGCTAAGCTTATTCAGCAACAAGAAAAACCACGCCAAACACGCACGCCAAACTTATCAAAATGCATTGAGAAAACCACGCGATTGTTCCACGACTGATTCCTACTAAAACCTACCAAATCGAAACACAACAGAAATCTCAACTGACAATTTATTCACATTATCTAGATTTTGACGTTTTGTTAAATCGGCAACATTGTTTAAACAAAGCATTCTCGCACGCAAATTTCCAGACAATCAAACAAACAATACAATTATTCCAATACATCTTTCATATCCGTCACCCATAGAATTACACAAACATCAGAATCACCCACCTTTTTCCTCTGCCGTTCTTTATGATAAGCTAATCACCGTAATTGTTCCTGAAAAACTCATTTGTAGTCAATGGGAAGCTAACATTTAAAATCTGACAGGACCTCAGTATGAAAAATGATTGCGATGTATTTCAACGAGACGCATTGTTTGGGGACTGGGCTTTATTTAATAGACAGGCCATCTCAGGCAATGCTAATGATGACAAATACGTGTTTTTAGCCAAGATTACCAGCCAAATAGATCAAATAGGATCCCCGTTGTCGTGGTTTCGGAGAGTTTTATTACACTTTTGAGGTCACATTCAAAAACCAGAGATGTATTTTTACCATTGGGTTTAGAAGTGCTCGGAGAGTGTACTATCTTGGGCATGTGGGAGGATCTTATCTAACCTTTCCTGCCTCATGAAAAATTCAGCATCCTGGCCACCAATCTCCTCCATCGTCTCCGGATGTTATGTCCGATAGGGAGAGGCGGAGAGGGAAAGCGAGAGAGAGAGAGAGAGAGTGGGGGAGGGGGAAAAAGAGAGAGAGAAAGAGATGGAGGAAATGACTTTACTCTTAACTGTATCATCTGTGTTATTGTCTGGGCCAGTAAGACTTACGATATGAGGTGTATGTTCGTGCGAAAGTGATTTAATGAGGTTTTGTGTTCGTAATGAAACCAAAAAGAAGAGCACGTCAATTTACTCTGTGGTTATTTGATGTAAACAGTGGTGTAGTGGGCATTTTTTAAGTAGGGGGTATGTGATTTGTGACGTATAGATGCGATGAATCCAGCCCACCCAGGACTAAACCAGAACTGAACCAGGACTGAGCCAGAAGGACTAAACCAGGACTAAACTAGGACTAAAACAGGGCTACACCAGGACCAATTCAGAACTAAACAAGACTGAACCAGGAGGACTAAACCAGGACTAAAACAGGACTAAAAAAGGACTAAAACAGGTCTAAACCAGGTCTAAAACAGGACTAAAACAGGACTAAACCAGGACCAAACCAGAACTGACCCAGGAGGACTAAACGAGGACTAAAATGGGACTAAACCAGGTCTAAACTATGTCTAAACCAGGACTAAACCAGGACTAAAACAGGACTAAAAAAAAGGACTAAAACAGGTCTATACCAGGTCTAAACCAGGACGAAAACAGGACTAAAAAAGGTCTAAACCATGTCTAAACCAGGTCTAGGCCAGGACTAAACCAGGTCTAAACCATGTCTAAACCAGGGCTAAAACAGGACCGAACAAGAACTGAACAAATACTGAACCAGGAGGACTAAACGAGGACTAAACCAGGATTAAAACAGTACTAAAACAGCACTGAACCAGGTTTAAACCAGGACTGAACTAGAACTGAACCAAGACTGAACAAGAAGGATTAAACCAGGACTAAAACAGGACTGAACCAGGTCTAAACCAGGACCAAACCAGAACTGAACCAGAACTGAACCAAGACTGAACCAAGACTGAACAAGGAGGACTAAACCAGGACTAAACCAGGACTAAACCAGGTCTAAACCAGGTCTAAACCAAGACTAAACCAGGACTAATCTTAGACTTGAGAGAGAGAACCCCAAGCCTGTGGAGCAGGGTGTTCACAAAGCACGATCGGGCAACATCTGGGTTTACTCCTGATTTAGACTTGGTTTAGTCCTTTTTCGATACAGCAATCCACAATATCGATACTGTATCATCACATTAAACAATAATATTTATCGATATGTTGATATTTTTGCACACCCCTAGAGTCCAATCAGAGTCTGTGATTTAAAAGTTTAACTCCAGGAAGCTGTTCGAGCATTAGCCTGTAGTTTTCTGACTTTAATGAGAGTCTAGTTTTGATACTAGTTTTAAAATGGGTTAGTATGTGATTTTTAATACTTTTGAAAACCCTAGCAGAGTCCACACACACACACACACGCACACACACACACACGCACACACACACACGCACGACTCACAGCCACGCTTATTTATTCAACTTCTATAACAAGAAAACCGTCAATTAAAACTGTAGCATACCAAATGAAACCCTAAAATACCCCACCATCGCCTAATGAGCGCGCTGCATGTACGTGTGGAGCCATCAGAGGCGGTGAGTGAGGGCCTGCCTTCCTCTGTCTGTGCGGGGCCAGGCTTGTCAAGTGGCAGCTTATGTAACAGTCTGAGTGTGACAGCCCCGAGACGTGTGAGGGGCCGCTCTAAACGGGCCCCCGTGACTGACAGAGATGTCCAGATAAAACGGCGCGTCAATCTTCCCCGCCAACCGCAGACTCCGCCCCCTGCGCCTCTCCGCACCCCCCCCCCCGACTCACCACCCATCGCAAAGCTACAACGACGGATGCAAAATACAGCCGTTTGGTCCCGTGCAAGAGGAATCTGGGCTGTTGCCATAGTGATTAACAATTTAAAACAAATTATTATATCTTGTAAATGGGGAAAAGTGCTCAGTTAGAATAGTGAATAGTAATGGTGAGTTTTAACGTTCCTATATTACACTAAATTGACTCGGCTCCCTTTTACCTTTTGCTCACTAGAGGTGGGCAAGGTGTATGAAGTTGTATTATTGCAGCTGAAGTTGTATCCTTGTATTACCACGTGACATCACAAGGTGGAACAGAGTGTTTTCTATTTGAGAGAAGAAGAACGCGACCTAAATATACAGGGTTTGTGTGTTAAACATGTGTGAAGGAAACAAAACACATCTCTGGGTATGTTTGTGATGAGGAAACATTATAATCATTAGTTTCACAAAATAAAACCAAAAATAAGAAAATGAAAAAAAAAAAAAAAAAAACTGCTATTTTTTTTTCATTATTTGTCTCTAAAGCAAAAATTTAAAAAATCGATGATTCATTTTTTCAGTTTTCGATTTTGCGTTTAAATGATATAATAGAAAAAACAGATAACGGATAACGGTTTTCTGTTTCCGTGACTTAAACCGTGATGTTGGACTTCTGCACCGCAAATGGACTAAACCGGGACTAAACTGGGACTAAACCAGGACTAAACCAGG